TTGCTGTGTCCCAAAGGTTTTGGTATGTTGTATTTTCATTCTTGTTTGTTTCTAGGAATTTTGTGAATTCATGTTTAATTTCTTCTTTTACCCAGTTGCTTTACAGCTGGGTGTTGTTCAGTTTCCATGTATTTGACTTTATTGCCTTGCTCTTATTATTGATTTCTAGTTTTATAGCATTGTGGTCTGAGAAGATGCTCTGTAGAATTTTGATGTTTGTAAATTTATGGAGGATTGCTTTATGACCTAACACATGATCAATTCTGGAAAATGTTCCATGTGTGCTGGAGAAGAATGTATATTGTGTTGTTGTTGGATTGAATGCTCTGTATACATCTATGAGGTCAAGTTGGTTGATTGTATTGTTTAGTTTCTCTGTAACTTTGTCGAGTTTCTTTCTGGTAGTTGTGTCCCTTTTCAAGAGTGACGTGTTAAAATCTCCCACTATAATTGTAGATTTATCTATTTCTTCCTTCAATTCCAGTAAGGTTTGCTTCATGTATCTTGGTGCTTTTTCATTGGGAGCATATGTATTTATTATGGTTATGTCTTCTTGCTCAATTGGCCCTTTGATCATGAGATAGTGTCCTTCTTTGTCTCTTAGGCTGGTTTTTATCTTTAAGTTTATTTTGTCAGAGATTAGTATTGCCACTCCTGCTTGTTTATTGTTGCAGTTAGCTTGGTAAATTCTTTTCCATCCTTTAACATTTAGTCTGTTTTTGTCTTTGTGTGTAAGGTGTGTCTATTGCAGGCAGCGTTTTGAAGGATCTTGTTTTCTTATCCATTCCGCCACTCTGTCTCTTCACTGGTGCATTCATTCTATTGACATCCAATGTAATTATTGATAGGTATGAGTTAATGGCTGCCATTATGTTACTTTTTTGGTAGTGCTGTTCGTTCTTTTGTTCTGCATGCCTACTTGTGTTGGGTTTGTGTTTTTTGTGCTATTTCTAGTTGGTTTATTCTTAGTTTTCACGTTTGCTTGTTATGCTTGGAAATTTATTTTTATGATGAGTTGTGAAGTATTAACTTTCTTTGGGGTTACCTTATAGTCTACCAAGTTTTCTCTCCATTTAAGATATCCATTGTACCCTGTAATTTACCTGACATCCTCACCACCTGGGTCTCTGTTGCTACCTTTGTTCCTTCTTTGACATTGATATAATTTTGATCTTTGGTTGACCTCCCAGCTCCTTTGAGTTTGTTGTTATAGTCTTGTTCTGTTCTGGACTTTGCTACCTGTCGACTGAGTTCCAGGTGGTGTTGTCACGCCTGTCAATCTCTGTTTGTTGTCTGTTCTTGTTGGTTTTCAGTCCACAGAACCCCCTTTAGGATGTTTTGAAGTTCTGGGTTGGTTTTGATAAAATCTCTCAAGTTCTGTTTATCGTGGAATGTCTTGATTGCACCATCATGTATTTGATTGATAGTTTTGCTGGATAGACAATTCTTGGTTGGCAGTTTTTTTTCTTGTAGGGCTTTGCATATGTCTCCCTTCTTGCCTGCATGGTTTGTTCTGAGTAGTCAGAGCTTAGTCTAGTTTGCTTGCCTTTATAAGTGACATTTCTTTCTCTCTCGCCGCTTTTAGTATTCTTTCCTTGTCTTTGATTTTGGAGAGCTTGATTTATGTGTCTTGGTGACTTTTTTTTGGAGTCTGTCCTTCCTGGGTTACGTTCTGCTTCTTGAATGTTTTATCTTCTCATCTTTCAAGTTGTTAGGGAAATTTTCTTCCAGAAGCTCTGTAACTATCTGGACTAATCTGATTCTTCCTGTTCCGAAACACCAATAATTCTTAAGTTGTTCCTCTTCATGTTATCCAGCATGAATTGTAGACTGTCTTCAGATTTTTTTTATCCTTTTTTCAGCTTGCTTTTCTATCTTAGCGGTATTGAGAGATTTGTCTTCCAGCTCGCTAGTTCTGGATTCCATCTCTTCTATTCTGCTCCTTTCCCCTTTCAGCATAATTGTTCATTTCTGATATCTTAACAATGATCATCTGGATATCTTTTTGCAGGGTTTGAATTGTTTACAATGCTGTATCAATCTTATTTGATTGCTCCTGGAGTACTTTCCTGACTTCTTCCTGTTTTCCTCCACCCCTTTTTGGAGCATTTGAATTTGTTTCTATATCATTCTTCTGAATTCTGTCTCAGGCATATCCTAAACCTGCTCTTCCTCCTCTGTAAAGCCTTTGTCTGTCTCCAGGTCATTTGCATCAGCTACTCTCTTCTGTTTTTGGACGTGTTTCAATATAGTTTGTTGCTTTTTATTTGGCATGATAGTTACTTGTTTGTTTGTTTGTTTTTTTTTAAATCTTAAGTGAATATTTGTTAAGCTTACTGGTTGTCTCCTGGTGAATATGATCAGGAGATATGCTTCCCTTTTCACATGTAATGCTTAGCGGGTGTTGTTGGCTCTTGTCTCAGTGGTGGAATATTATGGGGTATGCTTATAGCTTGGCTATATGACCACGAATTCTGCTACTGCTTGGGTAACGTAGGGAGAAAAAGCTCCCACCTCCCAGAAAGATGTGTGATCAAAAGGACCAAAAGCAGAAGTATTATAAATGCATAGAGAAAAATCACCACTTTGGAACAGAAATGAAGCTGTGGTTGACTGTCGTGAGCGACACCATCAGTGTGTGTGCAATTAGAAGCCTCCAGCAGGGGGTGGGGTGACCACTCTCTCAGGCCCCTCCTCTAGTCTCTACAGTAGAGGTACGCAGGTGGATATTGGGGAGTTAATGGGAGAAAGATTGTCCACTATTTTTATCTCTGAAGGTCAGTTAGGTATCTTCGTGTGCTCAGCACAATTCTCAGGATGGGTGAGTCCTGTTATGCTGGGGTTTTACAGATTGCTTTGAATTGGTCCTGCTCAGGAGTTTGGGAGGCGCAACAGCCTTGAATGGGGTCACAATCCACAGCGTCAGCAGTTTGAAACCACCAATTGCCCCGTGGGATAAAGGCGAGGCGCTCCACTCCCACGCAGAGCCACAGCCCTGAAAATCCCGCACAAGGTCCTGTTGAGTAAACTTTTGGGTCTGTGACTCCATCGGTGATGTCATAAGTCGCCACCAAACTCCTTCCTTCTGTACCGTGGGAAAACTGCCCCGCCTGATGCTGGGCTGAGCAATGAGCGTTAAGAGGAAGAAATGTGTAGTTTCCCGTGCCTCTTTTGTGTGTGTGTGCAGATGCCTCTGCACTGCTTTTAGCGTGCTTTCTGAGCCGGACTGGCTTTAGCTCCACCCTCTAAATGGTGGGGTGGTCACCAAGGGAGTCCTGTCTCCAGATTCCTAACTTGCTGTATTTTCCTTAATATCATGACATTTTCACTTTCGAGTGCCAGAAATTGATGTCCTGGATCTTATGGTAGATTCGGAGCTCTGGAGTTGTTCTATGAGCGCTTCCTTCTTGAGATCCTCCTCCCTTCTCACCAGAGTGTACCCTGGTTTTTGCTGCTATAACCCAAACTGGAAGTCCCTATGCTCTTATCTTTATCCCTTGCCAGTCCTCCTAGACTCCATTCAGTATTCTTGGTTGATGTCCTTTGCAGTTTTGCTACTGATCAGGCTTTAAACATCCTTACGTATTAGAACCACCCTGACTCTTCATGCCCACTGCTGCTTGTCCACCACTGTAGTTTCTTATTAGAATTAGTCCTAACTAGCAAATAGTTGCCATTGAGTGACTCTGCCTCTTGCTGACTACATGTTTATGAGATTAGTCCTCCTTGGGTTTTCTTTTAACCTTCCTCTAAACCAGTGGTTGGTAAACTTGTGTTCCTGCAGGCTAAATAAATCTAAGCTGCCATCTATTTTTTTGTTTTGAACATTGTATCATGGTTTGGGAGAAAGTTTACAGAGTAGGTTAGTTTCGCCTCCCACAATTTATACACAATTTGTTTTGGGATATTAGTTGCAATCCCCTGAGTGTAGCAGCATTCTTTCTACTTCCTTCTTGGGTACCTTGTTTCCATTTGCCCATTTTTCCTGCCCCTTCTTGCTTCTGAACTTTTTTTGGGGCAAATGCTGTCTTTGGTTTTACATAGTTGATCTTTGGAGCACATTCCTCATGAGTGTTGTTCACTTCATAGGTTTGTTGCTTGTCTAAAAGATAACCTAAAGGAGTGGGTTCAGTTCCAGGTTTGAAGGGTGTCTGTAAAGATCAGTCTCAGAGGACTGCCCTCTGTTTTTTCTGGTATATTGCCTTGCTCCTTTGTTTATTTATTATTGTCTCAGGCTGTTTTTATATTATAGTGGCGGAATAGGGTAGCTGAAAAAGAAACCTATAGCCTGAAAAGCCTAAGGTACTTACTGTGTGGGTGTTTATGGAAAAAGCTTGCCAGCCCTCTTTATGCCATTCTCCACATTATAACTAAATTTGGCTTTGAGATCATAACACACACCCACCTTTTATTTGCTTATAAGGCTCTTCCTAAAAGGACCCTTATTAAACCTTCAACTGTGTGCTTCGGTAGAGTCTCTGGTGGTATATAGGGTTAACTTGCTCGATGCTAACCAGAAGGTTGGTGGTTCAAGCCCACTCTGTTATGCCGTGTTAGAAAGTCCTGGCAATCTACTTCCCAAACAATCAGTCACTGAAAACCCTATGGAGCACAGTTCTACTCTGAAACACACGGGGGTCCTTCTCAGTTGTAACCAACTAGACAGTTGTTTGCTTTGGTGTGCTTCCTCACTGTACTCACTTGCTTTGTAACACTTAATACATTGTACTTTAATTGCTGGGCTTCATCTCTAAGCTCCAGAAGGCTCTGTTCTATTTTGCATCTGTAGGATGCTAGGTGGAGTCATGTTGTGGTGCTATAGGATAAGTACAAGATCAGTAGTTCAAACCCACCAGCTGCTCCTCAGAAATCATATACAGGGTTGCTATGAGTCAGAACCAACTCGATGGCACTTAGCAACAACGGGATAGTAAGTACACAATAGTATTTGTTGATTAAATAACTATTGTCATGGTTACTTAAATTTGTGTTCTTTATAGGTACCTGTCTATTGTACTAAAACTGGTGTGAAACATTTGCACCACAAGGCTCAAGAATTTGACATTGGAGTTTATTTTGAAGCAAATGGGCATGGCACCGTAAGTTCTTTAAAAGTTTTGACTGTGACTTTCGTGGGTATTTTATGACGGGCATTCTGTTTCTGGGTGGTGGTGTTAGTGGTGTGCCGTGGAATCGGTTCCGACTCATAGCAACCCTGTATAGGGTTTCCAAGGCTGTAAATCTTTATGGGAGCGGAAAGCCTCATCAGTCTTCCGTGGAACGGCTAGTAGTTTTGAACTGCTGACCTTGAGTTAGCAGCCCGACTTGTAACCACTATGCTACCAGAGCTCCTTGTTTCTGGGCGGGTGGTGGTGGTGTCCTGTGGAGTCGGTTCGCAGCCCGATTTGTAACCACTACGCTACCAGAACTCCTTTGTTTCTGGGTAGCGGTAGGTAATATTCTACTTTCATGAAATGATTGAGATGGTAGTAGAACAGGATTTGGTTAATCTCTTATTCTTGTGATGTGAAATTGTGGTTCTGGTTTAGATTATAGTGATACCTCTTCTAATATTAAAAAAAATACATATTTGCTATTTTAATATGGTTTTATTAAAAATGCAGTTCAGACTTTATAATTAGACTGTATGTTATTTGGAATGCTGCAGGATAAGCACTGCACTGCTTCCCATAAGGTTGGCAGTTCAAGCCCACCGTCTGCTCCAAGGGAGAAAGATGAGGCTTTCTGCTGATAGAGTTATAGTCCCAAAACGCTATATAGGCTTGCTGAGTTGGCACAGACTCTACAGCACTTAATTGTACAATAATACATTATTTAAAATATTGTTCTTCAGGTGGCCACAGAGTCACCTCCGACTCATAGCGACCCTGTATAGTGTTTCTGAGGAGTGGTTGGTGGGTTTGATCCATCATCCTTGTGGTTTAAACCAACTTTATGGTCCATTGTTTTTCCTAAGCACCACACCAGGACTCCATATACTACCAGAAACATGCTTAAAGTACTAAGCAATAAACATACAGTGCTTTTTATGAGTTTCTTAGCAGACAGAATTTTCTAAGAACATTTTTTATTGAGATGCAATTTATATAACATTCATTATTTGAAAGATATAATTCAGTGGTTTCTAGATTCACAAGGTTCAGAATTTGAGGTGTCCAACAGAAAACTTGCCAGACTGTTTTCCTAATTAAGTAGACATTAGCTTCAGGAGGTCATGAGTATAAGGGGAAAAAGAGTAAGTTCTTAGAAAATGCAAATAAAACAAAGCTTTAGTGATCTAATCCTTCAAGGACCAGATAATAAATGTTTTAGTCTGTATGGACTATGAAGTCTCTATGTGGTTCATGACAAGCTCTGGATAATATTGGGAAGGATGGGTATATTCCATTCTTTGACTATTTGTGCACATGAGGAACCATACACAGACCAAGAAACAGTTGTTCAAACAGAACAAGGGGACACTGAATGGTTTAAATTCAGGGAAGGTGTGTGACACCATACTACTCAATCTGTGTGCCGATCAAATAATCTGAGAAGCTGGATTATACGAAGAATAGGGTATCAGGATCAGAGGAAGACTCATTAACAACCTTTTAATATGCAGATGATACAGCCTTGCTTACTGGAAGTAAAGAGGACTTAAAATACACTGATGAAGATTAAAGACCATCAGTACGGTAAGGTTGCACCTCAATGTAAAGAAAACAAAAATCGGACCAATAACAATGATAAATGGAGAAAAGATTAAAGTTATCAAAGATTTGTCCACTGTCGACACTCTGTGGAAGCAGCATCACATCAAACGACTCACTGCATTGGGCAAATCTGCACAAAACCTCTTTAAATTGTTCAGTAGCAAAGATAATCAGTTTGACTAAGGTGTGCTTGATCAAAGCCATTGTATTTTAAATAACCTCATATGCAATCAGGAAGACCAGATTGATGCATTTTAGTTATGGTATTGGAGAAGAATATTAAAAATACCATGGACTTCAATAAGGACTAACAAATCTATGTTGGAAGAAGTGCAACCGAAATGCTCCATAGAAGCCAGAATAGCCAAACTTCATCTCTCATATTTCGGACATACTATCAGGAGAGATCAATCCCTGGATAAGAACCTCATGCTTGGTAAAGTGGAGAGTCACTGAAATGAGGAAGACCCCCAATGAGGTGGACTGGCACAGTGGTGGCAGCAGTGAGCTCGGAGTAACAATTGTGGGGATGGTGAAAGACCAGGCATTGTTTTGTTATATGTAGGGTCACTTTAAGTCAGAACCAACTCGACAGAACTTAACAGCAAAGTCTCTGTTGCAGTTACTCTGCCCTTGTAGTGAGAGTGAGTGGGCATGGTTGTGTTGTAGTAAAATTTTATTTGCATAAACAAGTGGCTGTCCTGCACCTTAGTTTACCAACCCTTGACTAACCATATATTTCATTAAGTGACTGAGGGGCGGAATCAAGTTTGTGAAGAAATGTAATTAAGTCCCTTCATATGCTATTATCCAGAATTAGACCTTTTGAGAGAAGAGCCTATATAAAGTATTCCAAAATGATAGGAATCTTGAGGAACTTGATGTATCTTATAATAAATACCAGTGCCTTAACTGATATTTAGGGCACTGGTATTTATTATAAGATATATATAAATATGATGAAATCCTTTTCCTACTTTGCCTAGCATATAGCCTTACATTTTTTAGGCCAATAAACTGCCCTGTTTTTGAGTGCCATTGAGTAATTTCTGACTCATAGTGACTGGTGATTTTGAACCACCAACCTTGCATTAAAATGACATTGTGGTCTAGTGTGTTTATCCTACACCACCACAACAGGACTTCAACAAATTGTACTAGTTGCAGTGAATTTTATATTTCAAAGTAAACTGGATACAAACAGGCTTAAATAACCAGGTTACACAGAACTGATATAGCTTAGCTGGCTGAGAGGCAAACATAGTGAACTCATTTTGTGCATTCTTTTGCCAAAGTGATGTTTTCTTTGTAATCAATTGTTTAAACTTTACTAACCAGTTTCATAGTCCATAAATAAATCTTTTTTTTGGTGGGGCACGGGGTACCTAGGGGTATCTTTCGGGCTCTAGTTATATTTATTAGTTTCATACTTTGTAAGGCTGCCTTATGCCCCCAGAATTCTTTCTATCCACTGTTTGCAAAGTGGTCTGGCTAGAATGATAGTTCTTTTGACTGGGGCTTGGAAAGTGGTTGATTTATTTTTTATGCTTCAATTGCAGGTACTATTTAGTAAAGCTGCTGAGATGAAGATAAGACAACTAGCAAAAGAACTAGAAGATAACAAAAGGAAAGCTGCTAAGATTCTTGAAAACATCATTG